AACAGTGGTCATTTCAGGAGATGCTAACTTCTCAAGTCATGCTTGGTTCTCAAATGAGAAATGTTCTCTTTCTCCCTTCCCAACCTTTGCCCCTGGAGCATCATGATGTCAGTATGTTCTACAGAGAACAATAGATATCCTTCAAGTAGGTGGAACAACATAAAGCTGGATGATGGTTAGAACCACCAGTCTATCATATAAATGATTTTATGATATGATGCTTCAGAAGCTTGCCATTTCTTTTATGCAACCTACAGAATATCATTAATAAACAGTCACATACATGATTAATAACAGAAACAAATCATAGCATACTTTTTAACAGAAAGTAAGTAACATTAAAACTAGGGAAAATTCTTAGTTACACATGATTCTTTGTATAATGTATGTCCTAGGGTGCAATCCTGCACATGTGACACAGAATAAATCCTACATCTATTAGCATTCCTCAGGCAGCCTGGCTGGGACATGCTGAGAGCTGCAGGGCTAATTTATGTTTAAACATGCATAGGATTGCAGTTTTGTCTATGGAGATGCTGGATCTAATTAAGAGTGTAAACCTATCCATCTTTGGACAGAAGAAAATCTGTTTTGAACCATAGTCATATTTAGAGTGGACTAGTAGCACAATCCTATGCTTGTTTAGGAAAAAATATACTACAACTGCCAGCATTCCCCAGGGAAATTGGAACCTAAATATTTGTAGTCATTGCTCTGTTAAAAAAAAAAAATCCAACTTTTAAGAAAATTAAAACTCACATGGCAATAGTATGTCTACTTACAACAGGGTCAACTGTAAAGAAATTGCAAAGAGACTGGACCTCCTTAATTTCATATCAATTTGTTTTTACATATTAATAGTTTCCATGCTTGAGCTGCACTTGAAAGTGACCGAACAGACAACAAAATGACAAATGTCATTCAGTGTTGCCCCCAAACAAACCACTCTGTGGGAAGTGGTCCAGGTTCAGACAACCCATCAACCCATCACGACTAGTTACTCACGAGGGGTTGCAGTGCTGATGGGGCATCAAATCCACCAGCTCTCCACCAATGGGTTGGTCTGAACTGACAGTTACTAACAATGCAAAGGATTTTAGGATTGTGATGGTGTGTGTGGTGTGGCTATAAAAAACCACATTCCATGCTGGAAAATTTCACTATTGCAACGTGCTTATACAAATTTATAGTGCAACCCCAGTATAAATACTGTGTAATGCTCTCATTATTCTGATTCAAAATGAGTAATGCGGAACTGTTTAAAATTCAGAAAAGTGACAAGAGGAATGATCAAGGAGAAGGCATGCCTTCCCTGTAAGGAAAGACTCAAGCAACCCTGTGCCCTGCATAAGTATTGGACTGTACCTCCTTATCACTCCAGCCCAAGTACTGTGAACACAGGAAATAAGCGGGACATGTGTAAGAATACCAAAGGACATTCCCTGTTGAAAAAGAATCTACATGGCTTCTGAAAGCTAAGTCCTATCTTACCAACCTTTTATAGATAGTAAGCATGTAGACAGGGTGATCTGATAGATATTGTTTACCTGAATTTCTGCAAGATTTTTGACAAAATCCATCACTTTGGATGGATTTAAAGGGGAAGAGTTGAACAGATTCATGGAGGAGACAGCTTTCAGTGGCTACTAGCCTGGCTGGCTATGTGCTGCCTTCTGTACCGGAGGTGGCATGCCAGCATACGCCAGTTGTTGAGGAGTTTGGGCAGGAGAAAGTCTTGCACCCATCCTGCTTGAGCCATCCTGTGGGCAGCTGATTTGCCACCATGTGTATGGAGTGCTGGACTAGATGGGTCTGACCAAGCAAGGCTTCTCTTAAGTTCTTACAAGCAGCAGCAGAGATGATCTCTGGCTCCCCTTTCTTCCCAGGCAAACCAATGGTTCTAGGCAACCTTTTTTGGCTGTTTAGTTATAGCACTTGGAGAGAAAGGAAGGCAGCTGCAGAGGACACTGGAGGGCTCATATCCTGTCCTCTGCAGTCTACACTCTCCTCTGGCAACTAGAATTCCCCTCCCTGTTGTTGCTTTCCATTGACCAACTTTCTGCTTCTCGGGATTGGATTACATAAGGCTAACTTGACAACCTTGGTAGAGGAGGGGTTTTATCCTGTGTCCTCTGCAGCTGCCTTCCCTTCCCTCCAAAGTGCTGTAACCAGCCAAAAACGGTTGTCTAGAACCATTGGTTTGCCTGGGAAGAATGGGAAGCCAGAGATCAACTCTGCTGCTGCTTGTAAGATTTCCAATTTCTGAAGGAACCTTTCTTGATACTGCTTATTAACTATGCTAATGACCTTTTGGACTTCATGCTACCTCTCCCACGTCAGGTAGACTTTTCAGTTGAACCACTATTATTGTGGTTTTGAATACCTCCAAGCATTTTGAAGGGATTTAGCTCTCTTGACTCCCCTTTTCAACTTTCTTTTTATCAGTTCCCTCCTTTTAGAAAAGTTTCCTCATTTGAAGCAAAGTATGACTGCGTTGGACTTCCTTGGGAATTTTTTTAAAATTTTAAATCTAATAGCACTGTGGCCTCTGCTTCCACTTGATTCAACAACATTCACATCTCACTCTGGTTGATTCCATGACCAACTGTGCTAGACTATAGTCATGGAACATCAAAAAATGTAAACTTTGTTGTGAATGGAATGAGCATTTATATCCAGTCAATGAGGGAATAATTAAAGTCACCCATTTCCACAACTCTTCCTGAGTTGGATAACTTCCTGATTTCATTTTCCATCTCAAGAACCTTCCTGGACTCTTTAGTTATCTTCAGGGTTGGTTTTCTGGGAGCCCCTTCCAAAGGAAGTGATGTGGGTGGCTATCAGGAGAAGGGCCTTTCCAATTGTGGCACCCATTTTGGAATAAGCTCTTCAAAAAGGTGCATCTGGCACCTATTTTATATTATTTTTGGTGCCAGCTGAAAACCTTTTAATTTTCTCGGTTTTTATATATTCCATTAAATTCTGTACTACTGTTAGGCGTCCATGCTGAATCATAGCAATTGCAATTACTATTATGGTTTTATTCTTTTATATTAATGTTTGTGTGCATACTTTTAAATGTTTTTTTTAATTTTAACTTTTGTTAACTGCCCAGAGAGCCTCAGCTATTGGGCTGTATCAAAATAAACATACAAATAAATAAGAATTCCCTGAATATTTCTGGGGGATAATATCACGGGCCTGGCATTGTTACCCACAGTACTTCTGTGGAGGACTCTGTCCTCTTTAGCTTTCCTTCTCTGCTTAACAATATGGCTTCTTTAATGTGTAGCACAACACCTCTGCTAGTGCAGCCTTCCCCATCCTTTCTGTAGAGTTTATAGCCAACAATGACCATGTCCCACTGGTTGTCTCCATTTCACCAGGTTTCCATTTCCCCCCCTGTAGCTAAAATCATTTCCTCCTTCATCTCCTGGGGATGTCAGTCTGGACCGGATGCTTCCCAGCTTAGTTGGCTTTTCCGCAGGGTTCAGTTTAAAGCTGCTCTGCCGCCTTTTGTATGTAAAGTGCCAGGAGGCTCGTTCTTTTCCACTTCAAGTGGATCCCATCCCTGCTGCACAGGGCCGTCTTCCTGTTCAGGCCCCTATATTCTCCCATGATGTGAATGTAAAATAATAGTAATTCTCAAAGGTGCTCTTGATATTGATCTCTTTGGGAATACTCTAGATGTTCTTACTGTACATATTACTTAGATAGCAGATTGACACTTAAAATTACTACAGGAAGGCCTGTCCATTCCATCTCCTTTGCTTACTTATGCCCTCAGGCTGCAGACATACTGAATGTGCCTGAGACAACAGCAGAAGCCAAAAAATGTCTGCCTTGCCACTTCTTTTTTGGTATTCAAGAGCCTCATTTCCCAGCTGCAAAGAGAATGATGTCTCTGAGCCTACTGGTGACAGCCTGCTTCATGAAAGCAAGATGCTGCTCAGTTGCTTCGGCACCATTCTGTACATCACAAATTTTAGCTGAATGGTGCTCATGAGTGTTCAACCCACTGACTAGCAACACACAGAATGTATTTTACATTTAAGGGGCATGTGGATAAATTAGGAAGGAATAGCATAATATATTAATTTAAATTAACACACTGCTTTGATTGCTATCCTATGGCCCCCAGACATGTGTGAAGGACCATGGGATACTGGAGATTTATTCTTCTAAGGCTGAAGACAGAGTTAAATATGCAAAAAGAGGATAGAAAGACTGTGAAAACCTTTGCTTCTGCTCCAGTCCTGCCTGACTTTTGCTGGCAGGACTTACAAGAGAATAAGGGCTTTGACCTCCATTTAGCAGGTGTCAATCTGTAGAATGGTGCCCTTTCATGACAATCAGACTTGTCATACATTAAACATTTTGGCCTCTACCTGGTTAAAGATAGGCATGCCTGAGTTCCACTGAAAACAATGAGATGAGACAGTGGTAATGATTAACATGTTCCATTAGTTTCAATGGGACTGAGATTGTAATTCTACACTCACTTAGGGAGTGAGTCCCATTAAACTCAATGAGGTTTCGTCCTGATTACATGCGTCCATAAGTTCATACAAGCCAGTAAGTCCCACTTGACCTTGTTTTAAGATGACAGGCTTAGAATTGCACTGTTAATTGTGAGTTAACTTCACTGGATTGGGATCTCAGAGAAAGAATATATTTTAATTAGGTATTTATATTAAAGTGTGGGCATTAATTCCATTATTTATATTCTTTGGCCATATCTTTCTCTCTCTCTTATAGATGAATGCTACTGTTGCAACATCAGTTCATGAATATGTGAATTACATATGTATTTTTAATTTAGTGCCTTTTTATTATATGTTAGGTTGGCCAGTGTCCTATTTTTGGAACTTATAGAATACAACCAAGTGGAAGATAATCATACTTCAGATCCATGGAAACATTTAACAGCACTCACACTCAATTATTTGACACTAATGTTTACTTCACTCCATCCAACATTTATCAGAGGGGAATTTCTGTCACTTACACATATAAAGGCCTCATTCAGCTATAGGGCTGAGCTAAACATTATGCACATGGGCCTATTTTTCTTGCCCTCTAATACTGCTGCAGGGAAGACATGGGAGGTATCCATTTCCGTTTTACATGAACCACAATCCTTTGCCAGCTGAGGAACACCTCACCTTTACTGGTTTCCCATTTGCGTTATGTATTTTAAGTATTCCTTACCTGCTGATGAAAGTGGCCCTTCTTGTTTTTGTCTGTAGGGAATTTTACCTGGCTTTGTTATAATGTTCCTGTCTTGGCTCTTTCTGGATTTTCAATAGGTATGTTTTTAGATTTTTCTGTTTTGTCATTTTTAAATGTTTTGTTGTGCTTGTGCAGTGCTTCAGGCAGCATTTTTACTGGCAGGCAATGTGGCACATAATTTCAAAAATATATAGCTAAATAAAATACATATATAGAACTCTTAGAGCTGTCCTGTGAAAACTAATGTCAGAAAGCATGCAAACGATATATCAGTGTAGTACAAATACATCAAACTAAAGCAGCCTAGTGCTTGTAGACTAGCATTAGGATAAGTATATCTTAAGAAAGTTCTTATTCAGACTTGGCTTCAGGCAATGAAACGTCATAGATGTAGAACTCTAGTGAGTGAAATTTCTAGGGAGCAAATTAGGCTAAAAACATCTTCTAGAGACAGCTAGAAAGGAATCACACACTACTTGAAAATAAGGCAAGTTATGCAGTAAATGTTTCATTTATTGGGTTTCTTCCATTGCTGTTAGGGTTAAAAGACATGCTGTCAATAAAATGGTAAATTTATGGATGATTTGGTTTTTCTGAGCCTCCTTTCTTGTTGTATGTATGTCTAATGATATATATGTCTAATGGTATATATGATGGCATATTATACACTGACCATTTCTTTCAATTAATGTTTTTGCTATCTGGTAAAAGTAACTACCAACACCTAGCAATATCTGAGTACAAAGGATTTAGATGTTTCTACATAGGCATGACTAGGGAAGGAAAGCTTGGTTTTTGAGAAGTTAGGCACAGACCTGATGATTTATTTTCTAAAAGTGTGGTATTCCCTTTAATAACCTTCTAACAGAAACTCATCTCCCAAAAGTAAAAGCAAACACACCTTTGACACACCCTGATGGGAGTATTTATCTGTCAATACCCGATTCTTTGATTTCACGTGGAAATTAAAATGCATAGAATGTTTGGGAAAGTTGTCCCTGAATATCATTTGAAAGGAACTTGCATTTGTGCTGAATATGAGCATAGTAGAAAAGCTTCACAGGATCCAAAAGACCCTGCTGATGGAAGGTGCCTTTCATACTCCTTCCTGATGTTGGAAGTGGAGAAATTTGCATATAAAGGATATGGTGCTGAAGTTGGGATTGCTTCCTCTTTTCCTGGTTAAGGCAGGTGGCAGCTAGGGAGAAATGCTTCTCAGTCATGTCTCCCTATCTCTTAATCCAGGCACCTGTGCAAAGGTAGAAAAGTTTGGTCACCTTACGGGCATATGGAAGTTATGGAGTATCCAAAACTGTGAGTCTTAAGTGCAGCTGATGTGGGTGCTTTTGGAGTGGCATTCCCCCCTATGCATTTTCAGGGCCAATAAGGACATGTGGATGAAAAAGCAGCATTCATTGGGAGTGGCATATATAATTCCAGGCTGTTCAGTCTGACTTTGTGGGAACCCCCCTTCCTCATTCCACCAGAAAAGGGGCAGGGCTTAATTTCATGGTCAAAGCAGAAGCCCTTTGGCTGGTTCACAAAACAAAGCTGATGACATAAAATACAAAAGGATAATGAAACATAGAAACTGGAAAAGTTTAAAACAGAATAAAACCACAAAGTCAAATCCCACTGCACTACAGAGATCGAAAAGCACATCAAGGGTGCAATTCTATGTATACTTGTGGACAAAAGCTCCACAATTCCCAGCATGCTACAGCCAGCCATTCCGGGAGTTGGATGACTTCCAGATGGAGTCATCAAATTTCTATCAGTTGCTTCCTAACATTTTTTTTAAATGGAAGAAACAACAAGTAGGGAAAATAAAAAGGCCTGGCATCAAAAAGATCACAGTGTAGACATAGGTGAGCCTTCCTGGAGAAAACATTCTATGACCAGGCTGGCTGGGGTTAGATGAAACTCTTCCATGTCAGCTGTATTTCTTATCTTTGCCCTTCTATGCATAGGAAGTCAAGACATCTAATAATGTTTTACTTTATTTCTTTTCAAATATTCTATTAAATCCCAGCCCCAACTTAAACTAAGTGGACCATTCTGGCAAGAAGGAGTCTGTCTGCAACCACCAAACTGACTAGACTAGTCAAAACCAGTTGGTGGCCAATTCTAGTAAGAGATTAATTGAAATCATGGCATTGTTCAGGAAGGGGAACAGAATTTTAAATTATTGGCATAGCAATATTTGATATGCACTCTTTTGTGTTGTGGTGGGATTTTACTCTGCTTTTCATTTAGTGGAAAACCAAGCAGTCTTGTTTCTATGATAGAGTATACTTTTTCATATGTAATGCTAGTCAAGACTGATCTTCAAAACACTTCTTCTGGAATGCTCTCACTGCATATCACTGTGAAGGCAAGGCCACTTGATCAAGGCTGCAGTTCTATACACACTGACCATTTGATACGAAATAGTCAAGGATATCATCTATTTGGGTTCAATGAGTTTAGATTTGGGTTTGAATCTCCAGAGCTCAATACATTCCATCCTAGAGTCATAAAAGAGCTGGCAGAAGAACTCTCAGAACAACTGTCTTTTCTCTTTGAGAAATCATGGCGGACAGGAGAAGTGCCATATGACTGGCAAAGGCCAAATGTTGAGTTATCTTCAAGAAAGTCGGTGGGGCAGGGGGAGAGAGATGAACATGGGAACTGCAGACCTGTCGGCCTGACATCAATCTCTGGGAAAATTCTGGAGCAGATTATAAATCAGTCAGTCTGCAAGCACCTTGAAAACAGTGCAATGTTTACAAGAAGCCAACATTTCTCAAGAATAAATCCTGCCAGATGAATCAGATTTCATTTTTGTTATTGGGTAACCTCCCTGATGGACTGTGGGAATGTTGCAGGCATAATCTATCCTGACTTCAGCAAAGCTTTTGACAAAGTGCCCCAATGATAGCCTAATTAGCAAACTAGTTAAAAGTGGGCTAGATGGAATAACTGTCGGGTGGACAGCTGGCTACAGAATCAGACTCAAAGACTGCTCCTCAAAGGCACCTTCTCAAACTAGGGAGAGGTTCAGTCCTGCAGGGTTCATCCTGAGTCGAGTGCTCTTCAACATTTTCATTAATGACGCATATTAGGAAGTGTAGGGAACAATTATCAGAACTGCAAATGATACAAAAGTGGGTGGAACTGCTAATACACTGAAAAGCAGAAGTAAGATTCAAGGTGATCTTGATGGGTTGGAGTGCTTGGCTGAAACCAACAGAATGAAATTCAGTACAGAGAAATGGCAAGTTCTGCACCTAGGAAAACGAAACCAACTGCAATTTGGTTACAAGGGGAGGGAATACTTGGCTCAACAATACTGGAAGTGAGAAGGATCTTGGAATTTTAGCTCACAGGCTGAATATGAGTCATCAATGTGATATGGCTACAAAAAGGACAAATGCTATTTTAGGCTTCATTTATAGAAATATAAATTCAAAATCACATGAAGTACTAGTTACCCTTTACTCAGCACTGGTTAGGTCTCATCTGGAGTACTATGTCCATTTCTGGGCACCACACTTTAAGATAGATGCAGACAATCTGGAAAGAGTTCAGAAGAGGGAAACAAGGATGATCCAGAAAACAAAGCCCTGTGAGGAGACATTGAAAAAACTGGGCATGTTTAGCCTCAAGAAGGGAAGACTGAGTGGAGATATGATAGTACTCTAATTGAAAGGCTGTCACAAAGAGGAAGAACAGGATCTCTTCTCAGTTATCCCAGACTGCAAGACATGAAATAATGGGCTCAAGTTTCTGGCTAGATATCAGGAAAAAAAATGCCTGAGTGTTAGAACAGTATGACAGTGGAAGCAATTACCTAGCAAGGTTGTGGGTTCTCCCACACTAGAGTTATTCAAGATGCAACTGGACAGTCATCTGAGAGGGATGGCTTAACTTGGTGTTTTGCACCCAGCAGGGAGGTGCACCCTATGGCCTTCTGGCTCCTTCCAGCTCTACCATTCTACGATTCTATGACCAGGAAGTAAGCCCTGTTGATTTCACTGAAATAAATCTGAGTAAACCTACCTATGTATGAATGGACCTGGACTTTAGACAAGTATTGTAAATTAAGGAAATGCTGAAAGGATTAGACACAATTGCTCTGAGAAAGTTCTACTGGCTTCAGTGAGATAACAGTGGGATAGGTGTTCTGAGGACTGCAGAATGGTTTTTTCTGCTGGGATGTTACCATTTGATTCTACTGTATGATGTTGACATGGCCACAACAGTTTCACGCTGAAATAATTAAGAATGATTCCAGTGTAAACTGATCCTTAAGATGCATTACATCAACCACATAATGTAGACTAATTCTGCTGCATGGGAGCTGAGATTAAAAGTTAGCAGTTTACCTAAGTCACCCTGTACCATGTTCATAGCTGAGCTTGAATTTCTAGCAAGATCTTCCTGGACTATATCTTGTACACCTAACCAGTATATTGTACATTAGCATATGCATTGTAGTACTTTTCTTTGGAGGGGCACCACATTTTTATAACATTCCTAAGAGGGTGGCTCCCTGTTGTAGTGTCATTTAGATACTGTTTGAAGGCTATTTCATCTTCTTGGGCCTCACTTTTAATTCTTGTATGTTTTTTGCTGCTGGTTTTACTATTTGCTGTGCAGAAATTATATAGTTTGTTCAAATTTGTATATATGAGTTATTTAAATATTGTATGCTGTTTTGAGATTATTGTGAGGAAAAGCAAAATATAAATATTTTATATCAATCCATCAATCCAGCTGCAATATGCATGTGCTCTGTACTCAAGTACAAAATACTTACATAGTATCTTTCACAGTACTTTGGATTTTCCACTCCATCATCCACCTCTGTTTTGGGACCATTTGTGAATATTGTGGCTACAATCCTAAATATATTTGCTCATGGAGTTGATGTGAAATTTCCTGTGAGTCAGTATAGGCAGGCTTATGCTTAAGTCATTTGAGATGGCATTTTGACTGGGTTCAGACAACATGGTAATGCACAGTCAAGAACTATGGGTAATTATAAGCTAACAGATCATGGTGAACTATCCTTAGTTCACAATCCAACAACAAC